TATATATATATATATATATATATATATATATATATATTGAGCCTTTTATATTATATCATGTTTATATATATATATTTATATACAACTTACTCTATATCTTAAACATATTAATAATCAACATTAGACAACATGAACATACCTGAATCGGATTTTTTTTGAAGAAGTATATTTTGAAACAATACCATTAGATTTACCCTTTGTATTTCATTTTTGGCTATTATATTTTATCACTTTTTCTGCTAGTTTTCATACCATTGCCTAATTCGTCATTCTATGATCGCAAGGAAATTTAGACAGTGCAGAATGAATATATATATATATATATATATATATATATATATATATATATATATATATATATATATATATATATGCCTCAGATTGCACTGAACTCCCATATATTAGAGCTAATTTCTCCATGCCAGACTTTCAGTTTGGTCCACGAAGACCAAACGGTGAAAATAGTCACTTTTTTTCTTTCCCGTAAATGTGTATGAAGATGTGAAGCTTTTCAAGTGCAATAGCAGCAAGAGCAGAAAGCAAACATTAACAATATTCTTCGTAAAGCTCTAATTTTTATGTTCAAGATTTCCAGGTAAGGTGATTTAATAATCGCCTACATTATTAAAGCTTTGATTCATGAATTCTTTCATATGGTAAATGGTGTTCCAATGACTTGGACTGATTTTAATTTGAATTAAGTTTAAGTGTCTAATGAATTTTTTCTTTGGGCGATATTATTTTTCATATATAATTGCCATGACTTAAATAACATGATCAAATAGAGAAATAAATAAATTTTCACTAATAACACTGATTTATTACTAATGACTTTGACTCGTCCTAATGGAACAACCTTATATATAATCTGTCTTAATTAAACACCATTTATTTATGCGTTCAAAGGCTTACTGTCACACTACGTTGAAACTACCATTCTGTTACGCTCACAGAATTTAAAGAACGTCAAACTTGTTAGTACCTATAACAGAAGCCTCTTGGGACCGGGCACTTCAAGCCTGGATGTGCGAGTAATGTTTACTGGCTCGGAATTGTTAAACGAGGAACCGAGTTCCAATTCTAGTTGTGTTTGTCATATACACTTACGAGCAAATACCTTTGGGAAAGGTATGAATCTACCTTTTCTCCACCTCATCTATGTGTTAATTAGTCAGACTTTTATTACTAAAACCGATATTATTCCTCAAACCCCCAAAATAAAAAAAAATCTTACAATGTGAAAATATTTTCTGTCTTTAAATAACCTGTTGGGAAACCGTAAAAAATCAATTGGCTTCTGAGCAGTTTTATCTACACACGTTTACACAAAATGCTTGCGTCAAGCCATAGTATGATTTTCAAATATATGCCAATGCGGTCACAAGCAGGAATTTCCCTTCCAGGATCGCAATTATGAAGAAGTCACCTTCTTGATTAAGCGACGTAGGTGAGATTCTTATTCCGTTTGGAACGTTAACTCTCTTACGAATTGTTATGTTTGGATAACGTTCTGAAGGTTGGGATGTCTGCAATACATCAACGAATAACAGAAAAAAAGTAAACGAAAAATGCTGACGTCAATCTCATTACCGCAGACACGCCTCTCATTAACAACATATTGTAGGCATATAATTATGAGTGAGCTCTACAAATCGCAGGTCGTATCCATCCCCCTCTACGGATATTGAGACTAAGACTCACCTGGTTGATGTCAGGAAAATGATCCACGCGTTCAAGAAAAAAATATTTGAGGAGGCTCCTCCGTATCTTCCACTGGGAACAGAATACCAACAACTATGTACGGAACAAGGTAAAAAGTTTATTGAACAAACAGGAATCTATACTCATCGCGATTAAGCGTCGAGCAATGGCATTGTTTGACCGTATCAGAAAATATAACAGATATCCAAGAACATCATGCAACTGACTGTTGGAGGGGGTGTGAACGGGGAGGACAACGTAAGAGCTGGTCAGACAACAACAAAGAGTTGACGGATATGATAATGCCAGATATCTTGAGAGCCATCGCCAACAGATCATTCTGGAGGTGATTATCTGTTTCTACCCCTTAGGACCACCATTGGACTGATGATGATGATGATGATGATGATGATGATGATGATGATGACGATACTCAATTAAAGGGTTCGATCATAAATTTTCATAAATTATTTAATATATTCTTACCAAGGTTACTCATTCAATATTTATACTTTAACAGGTTATCTTAATTAAAATTAATATCATTTTTATTCAACACCTTGGCACTTACGGCTTTTCAGCATTTCCTATTTTAATATCTAATTTTCTTTTTGTGAACACTTCACACCAAGTAAGTCGGTAATGGCGCTAGGATGCAGGAGGCCACAGCAAGTGTATTAGAATGGTCAGAACCTTAGTGTGGAGGAGGAAAGAAAAGGCAATATAGCAACAGGTTTCAGGAAAACAGAAGATGGCGGCTGATGATGTATTTAAATATTTAAAGATTGTAGGTGGGATGAAAGCCAGAAACCGAAAGTCAGTTACGAATGTAGCCATAAAACAAACTGTTAGAATAAAAGCGGCGGTTGATTCTAGCTAGTTAAAAAAAACGTCAAATGGTGACACTTATTTGCCAAACTAGTGCCATGCTTAAAATCATGTACTCCAATCACTAGGGAAAATGGCTCATCTGACCAGTTGCCATGAAATTATTTGTAGAAAAGACAATTGGGAAGCCACGTCAGGTTAGTGAGAAAATGACTGAAGTCGAGATGCCAGGTCAGGATCGATAACATTTCAGACCATTCTTTGGATTGTGTCAAGAATATCGAGATATACAACAGGAACACCAAGCAGATGTGGCTGTTTTCAATGTACGAACGAATGGTCGATTTATGAATATACAAGAAGGATTCTGTCGAGAAAAAACACTCTTTTGGCACAGCAGAGTGAACCAAATTTCCTAGCAGTAGATGCAGCAGTTGATTCAGTATAGATCTCCACTACATGGCAGTAGAAAACCAGAGCCCAAGAAGGCGGAGATTTGCAATGATATTTCATGGAAACTATAGTAGCTTGTTTTCCCATTTTTTTTTTTTATCCACCGTTTTGAATTCAGAGTTATCCTTCTCCTAGGATAGTTGCCTTTCCGGATCTCGAAACTACAGTTTGTGCTACTATTTTCCCTATAGAAAATGGCGAGAAGAGATACTCTTTCCTAAGTTCATAATGCGAAATGAACGCTACGACTTTGATCGGAACTTGAACTCTTTTTACCGATTCCATTTTCATCGATGTTAACCGCTATACATTAAACAAAATAATTGAAAAAAAATATTTTAAATAAAGTTACTTCACACTTCCGTTGTATAAGTGACGAGAAAATAAGTAGAAAAAAAGACGCACTAAATTGAAAATATCGTTTTAGATAGACAATAAATTCGAGGAAATTCACAAATGAACAGCCGATTATTTTTGAGAGAAAAAAAGAACAATAAATTCATCAACGAAAATAATTTAAACAATAAAAAAAAGAAACACTTACAAGAAACCATTACTCAGCACATGTTCATTATAAAGCTCTGATAACAGCGGAAGAAAACAATTAAGGTTTAAAAAATATTTCTTGAGTTGACAGCTTTCTATCGTAAAATCTATGTTCAGCTGCTTATTTACCTGTAAGGCCTCTTACTCTATATTATTTCTTAGCTAAACTTGAAAGGAATTTACGGTAGTTGTTGACAAAATTTCCTAAATCCTTCTTTAATAAAATAAATAACAACAATAAGTAAAATGAAGAAAACCTGTCAAATATTACTAAGGGAAATACTTCATTTTAGAATTTCAAAACGACTGATACTCATATTAATCTGTAATAAGTAAGCAGTATTGGGCAAAATATCTTCAAGAGAAATTTATATACCAAGACAGATTTCGTCCATGTCGAAACATGAAACTTCCATGACTTCCGAATTGATTTAGAAGCTATCTATATAAAACATGTTATTTTCTCTTCCGTGTCATAAGAGCTCTCACTTCTAGAAAAGGGTGTAGAATTAATTTAAACTCCGAAATTATTTCACGCCGGAATTAATTTCAGCTCGGAACTAAGGGTTTTGGCAATTTAAAAAAAATAAAAAATATTGCAAGCATTTTTGATTTTTTTACTATTTAAATCTATTGCTGGAAAACTTTACTATAAAGATATATTTTTATACTTAGCATTTTGACCCCAGTTTACGAATTCGCTATTTACCCATAGCTGGGGCCCTAACAGGTGCTACCAAATTGGACCTGGGAACAAAAGCTATTAATAAGAGTTTCTACACTCCTCTAAACTTCTTGAGCAGAGACCTTGCTGCCGGATGTAGTTTACTAATATTAAGGGTGGAATTTAAGTAATTGGCAGATCCATCCGATATATTGTAGCAATACTCCGTTCTTGCTAACTAGGAGCAGTGAGTTGTGGTGCAGTGGCTATCGGCCTGGTATGAGAAATCAGAGGGCCGAGTTCGAATTCTAGTCGGATTCGTTGCATTCACTTACGCACAAATACCCTTGGGAAATGTATATATCCATCACTTCTCCCCCAACTATGGTTTGAATAGGAGAACAACCTTAGCAATAGCCTTGGTTGGTAACTAGTCTATCGCGGAAAGAAACGGCAACATACTGATAGAAAATCATCTGCTTAATTGCGAATTGATAGAGACATGACTGTCAAAGAGTGTATGATTTATAGCAATTAACTGAAGAGCAGAGGAGACGCTGAAAGTAAAATCTGTACGATTCACTCCACGTGTTTTTGCCAGTCTCTAGAAACATTATTCGATATTGCCTTCATTCTCTTTTCAGTAAGCTGGTTTTAATAGACATCTGCCTAAAAGATAAGCGGAAAAGTTAATGATACCTTTGCTAAGTATGTATGTCAGTCTTCCCTGACATTACAACACAGTTTATCAAGGTTGGCGTTACCTTTCCTATTAAACAATCTAACCTCGACCCCAGGTTGCATGTACCACCAGGTGGAGCGAATAGCAAGCTTTGGGGAAATAGTGGGGGAGGTTGACAACCGCTTGACACTGAAGTTCGGCTCCTATCGACGCTTTTCGTTTCCAGTGTCTCGAGAGCGAACTTGGGTTACGTCCAGCGAAAACCCTGCCGTTCACAGCGGACAGATAATGAGATTTATGAGCCTGAGAACAACATCTGATATTCGCTGGGGCAAAGTCAGGATAACACGAACGGGAGCAACTTACTATTATCAGTAAGGTTCGTGGTGGTGTGTGTCCTCAGACTTCAGCGTACGATACTTGCATGGAACAAGATCAAGATGATGAATCATTAGAGAGTCATTAGGACGATGTCAAGGAACGTAGCTGCTTATGGTCGATTCTTATTTACTCGCAGACATCTTGTGCTTTCAGTCTGGGCGAAATTGGAACGAGTCTCGGGCGTAAACAAAAGCTGGGAGTTCGTATTTCATGAGTAAATCTCCTGATAGTGCATTACACCTTTTAGTATAGTAGACAGCTATATATGTTTTTGCCCGTAAATCTGGTTTGTGCTTTAACTCGCAATGTTGGAAATTCTGTGTACTAACACGGAAAGGAAAAACAAAGTAGAAGGAAAATGAAAGGAGAGAGAAAGAGAAAATGCGAGAATGCAGGAAAGAAAGATCATATACAAAAGATAAAAAGCAAGCAAACAAGAAAGAAAGAAAGAAAAAGAAAGAAAGAAAGAAAGAAAGAGTGAAACCCAAAAAAATGAGAGTAAGGAGAAAATAAAATTTTCAAAAGAAAGAAAGATTGAAGGAGAGTGAAACAAAAACGGGATTACGGAGAAAAGAAAGTATATTATCAAAAGAAAGAAAGAAAGAAAGAAAGAAAGAAAGAAAGAAAGAAAAGAAATTTTGGAGAGCTAAAAAAATGAAATTACAGGGAAAATAAAGAATATTTTAAAAAAAGAAAGAAAGAAAGAAAGAAAGAAAGAAAAAGAAAGTTCAGAGACCAAAAAAGAGAGTGAAACGAAAGAAAGAAAGAAAGAAAGAAAGAAAGAAAGAAAGAAAGAAAAGAATGAAAGAAAGAAAATTCTGGAGAAAAAAATGAAATGAAAGAAATTTTTTCAAAAGAAGAAAGAAAAAGAAAAGAAAGAAAGAGAAATTTTGGAGAGCTAAAAAAATGAAATTACAGGGAAAATAAAGAATATTTTAAAAAGAAAGAAAGAAAGAAAGAAAGAAAGAAAGAAAGAAAGTTCAGAGACCAAAAAAAGAGAGTACAGTGAAACGAAAGAAAGAAAGAAAGAAAGAAAGAAAGAAAGAAAGAAAGAAAGAGAAATTCTGGAGAGCTAAAAAATGAAATTACGGTGAAAATAAAGAATATTTTCAAAAGAAGGAAAGAAAGAAAGAAAGAAAGAAAGAAAGAAAGTTCAGAGAGTTAAAAAAGAGAGTACGTTGAAACGAAAGAAAGAAAGAAAGAAAAGGGAGCAAAACAAAAAAATGCGAGTAGGTAAGAAAGCACGACTATTTTCAAAAGAAAGAAAGAAAAAAAGAAAGAGAGAAATAAATAAAAAAATATGAAGGGTGAAAAAGAATATCAGAAACATCAAGAAACAATGAAATAAACGTTGCTCTAGGAAAGACATGAAACGAAAAGGTGGAGAATATAAAGGCGGAAATAAATTATACACGAGATTCTGATGCGACAGAGATTAAATCCCAAAACATCAGGAAAACAATTAAAGAGAACAATCTAAGAATGAAAAAGAAAAAAGATAAAGCAAAAAAAATCATAAAGGACGAACAGCGAAAACAAAAGAAAGAAAGAAAGAAAGAAAGAAAGGAAGAATGAAAGAATGAAAGAAAAATAGATAGAAAGAAAGGAAGGAAAAAGAAAGAAAGAATGAAAGGAAGAAAGAAAGAAAGAAAAGATTGAAAGAATGAAATAAAGTAAAAAGAAAGAAAGAAAGAAAGGAAGAAAGAAAGAATGAAAGGAAGAATGAAAGAATGAAAGAAAGATAGAAACAAAAAAAAGGAAGAATGAAAGAAAGAAAAAAGAAAGAAAGAAAGCAAGAATGAAAGAAAGAAAGGAAAAATGAAAGAATGAAAGGAAGAAAAAAAGAAAGAAAGGAAGAATGAAAGATCGAAAGATCGAAAGATAGAAAGAAAGAAAGAAAGAAAGAATGAAAGAAAGATAGAAAGAAAGATAGAAAGAAAGAAAGGAAGAATGAAAGAAAGAAAAAAGAATTGAAAGAATGAAAGAAAGAAAGAAAGAAAGAAAGAAAGAATGAAAGAAAAAAAGGAAAAATGAAAGAATGAAAGGAAGAAAGAAAGAAAGAAAAGAAGAATGAAAATCGAAAGATTGAAAGAAAGAAAGGAAGAATGAAAAAAGAAAGAAAGAAAGAAAGAAAGAAAGATAAAAAGAAAGAAAGAAAGGAAGAATGAAAGAAAGAAAGAAAGAAAGAATTAAAGAATGAAAGAAAGATAGAAAAGGAGAAAGAAAGAATGAAAACATGAAAAAGATAGAAAGAGAGAAAGGAAGAATGAAAGAAAGAAAAATGAAAGAATGAAAGAAAGATAGAAAGAAAGAAAGGAAGAATGAAAGAAAGAAAGAAAGAAAGAAAGAAAGAATGAAAGGAAGAATGAAAGAATGAAAGAAAGAAAGAAAAAAGAGAAAGAAATAATACTGCAAACAAAGTAAAGACAAGATGAAGAAAGAAAGAAGGAAAGAAAGAAAGAAATGAGTGTAAAAGAAATAAGAGAACGGGGAAATTATCTTTGAAGAAAAGAAAGAAAGAAAAAGAGAATAGTAAGGGGAAGAAAGGTAGGAATGTAAGATTCATCAGTTAATCTCTCCCCCCTCTCCCTCTCTCTCTCTCTCTCTCTCTATCTATCTATCTATCTATCTATCTATCTATCTCAGCCATTTCTGTCTTAATTGTCATCTATCTATCTATCTATCTATCTATCTATCTATCTATCTATCTATCTATCTATCTCAGTCTGTTCATATTCATCTGTATAGTACGCACTATAAATGTTTATATATATATCTATCTATCTCAGTCTTTCTCTTCATGTATATCTTAAGTAAGTTAGCTATGTATCTCGGCCATTTCTGGGTTAATTCTTATCTATCTATCTATCTATCTATCTATCTATCTATCTATCTATCTATCTATCTATGCTAGTTATCTAACTTTTGATATCTGTCAGTTTGAATCTATCTATCTATCTATCTATCTATCTATCTATCTATCTATCTATCTATCTCAGTCTGTTCATATTCATCTGTATAGTAGACACTATATCTATCTATCTATCTATCTATCTATCTATCTATCTATCTATCTATCTATCTATCTCTGTTCGTTATCTAAATTTGATATAGCTTTTACTGTCTGTCCTTATCTATCTATCTATCTATCTATCTATCTATCTATCTATCTATCTCTCAGTCTCTTCATTATCCTATCTATCTATCTATCTATCTATCTATCTATCTATCTATCTATCTCTCATCTCTCTTCATTATCTATCTATCTATCTATCTATCTATCTATCTATCTATCTCAGTCTCTTCATTATCTATCTATCTATCTGTCTATATGTGGCTCTGGCGTGTGTCTGCGTACGCAGTTGTGGGTTTTCGTTTCATTCGTTCTTTTTTTTTTTTTTCAAAGCAAATATATATGCATATAGAGTCGAAAACATCAACAAAGAGAGTAGGAAAGAGAATAGGAAAAAGAGTAAGAGATAGAGATAGAAATACCTAAGTAGGGAAATCGTTAGCGAATTGAAAGGAAATAAATGTCGTTTTTCCCGCTAAAGATCAAATCAAACAAATGTAAACGTTAATAAATGAGCAGATTATAAAGCAAAAAAAAAAAAAACAAAATAACACGCAATTTATTTTCATTTCTTTTGTTTTGTTTCCTTTCGTTTTTCTTTGCTGAATTCAACAAATATCGAATATGTAGGAGAGTAAACAATTAATTTAATTCCATAATTAAATTCATATTTCATCGCCAAGATAATTTCCGAAAAGCTTCCATGATATACTCTCCGCTAAATCTTTCGGGGTGTGTCTTTGCAATATCAATTAATTCCTCTTGTCTGTTTCTTCAAATTGAATGTATTCATTAACGTGATATACACATTATAAAACCATCTCTTTCTAAATGCCTGTATAATCATAATTAATACTTATAAATTTGATTTAGCTAATTACATTTAGAGTATTATTCATTTCATAATTTATAAATTGAAATAAGGAATATTTCAAATGGTTTTCACGTTTATTCAACGTTCTTTGTATCTTGTAACTTTTTATCTTGCATCTTATATCTTTGTATCTTTGTATCTTAAAAACCCTGCATATTCTAAATGGTTTTTGAGATGCTAAATTTTGGATAATTTCACTGTATGTCTGGAAATTATCCAGCCAATTCATTATATCGAAAAATAGCCTATCTTGGGCATTTGATTTAAGTTTACTGCCACCGAAACTGATACACTTTACGGTTTAATCATTTCCCCCAAGTATGACGCTAGGGCTTACTCTGAATTAAAAGACAACAAAAGAACAGGAAATTTCAGATTATTCTGCAAATTTTATTCGCTCTCCTTAATCTCGGCCATAGAAGTAAAGATTCTCGCTTTTAACGCTGGGTTTAGCTCTTAGGAATGCCTGATGTTGCATGGAGCTAAACATGGGTGATACGGATTGGTTGATCTGGGAGATTAAATTGAATGAGATACGAACAATGGGTATCAGAGATATTAAATTTGGTTATACAATTTTAAAAGTTTTATACGCACTACAGCTACTAGTAAACCTAAAATATGAACAAAAAAAAAACAAAAAAAAAACAAAAAAACAACCGAAGCAAATTTGGCATCGACTCCTTCATCAGAAGAGAATCCTTGTTTCAATAAGTATGTACGGTGTTCAATCTCGAACGTCGGTAGAAATACACCATATAAATCACTCTTTGTTAGCCATCATATGAGTAGAAAACATACATACAGATATAGGCTCTTTGATTTATCGTTTTCATTTTTTATGACTTATCAACCTTATGCAGGTCATTTAAGCCAGAAAATATATTTAGATTAAGTGTAATTTTTTGAGATATTAATGGTTTACTGATACAAATCTTCCTAATTTACACAGAACTAGGCGAGAAGAGGTGTATTTGCACATAAATAGATATAATGAACCCAACTGGATGTGGAACTCAACTTTCCGAATTTAAGCCTTTATCGAGTAAAGCAATCGGACCTCCTAGCGTACAGCCTCTAGAATTCCCAAGCGGTCACCCATTTAGGTACTTACCAGGGTTCGACATTGCTTAACTTCGGTGATTGTACTAGAAGCAGTGTTTGAACGTGATATGAAGCAACCTACAGGTTCTTCGAAATGGGCATCTTTTGATAAAATATGTAAATCATAGCATATATATATATATATATATATATATATATATATATATATATATATATACACATATAAAACACACATATAAATATACATATATATATATATATATATTCATACATCGTTTCATTAAATAATATAGACAGCACTTGTCTATATTATTTAATGAAACGTGTATAAATGAAAAGATTCTGCCTAAATACACACAATATATATATATATATATATATATATATATATATATATATATATATATATTGTTTAAAAATATGATTCCTTCGCTACATAAGAGTTCTCATGTTTCAAAAACGAGAGCCGAAACCATCCAAATAATTATTAAAATTAAGTTGAATTGTGGTGTTTAGTCCCGTTTCATTTTAGGAATAAACTATCTCTCGGTTTACGTGTTTTTAGGCACGGTCCCTTACAGAATTCGTTATTGTGGGAGTGGCTAGACTATTTTCCTTCGTTAAGTGGTCAGAGAGTTAATTCTTATCAATAGATTCATCATCTTCTGAGAGGTTTTGCTAAGGTTGGGTGGAGCACTCTATGGAGCACTGTCTTCTTAAAAATAAAAACAAAAATACTAAGGAACTCCGGATTATGCACCCAACGTGTTCTTTTCTATTTTCTGCATACCAGCGCACTTACATATATATATATATATATATATATATATATATATATATATATATATATATATATATATATATGTGTGTGTGTGTGTGTGTGTGTGTGTGTGTGTGTTTCATTAAAGACGACAGAGAAGGTACCACGATTACGCTTTTTATTTCATTTTTCCTCTGTTTGAACAAGTTTTTCCTTTTCTGGACTCAGGGTGTGTAGAAACTGTTCAATTCTGAGCCCCTTCGGATGTACATTTATTTTAGCCATTTATTTTTGCTTTTTAATTGGGTGTGTGGGTTGTGTGTATGTATCTAGAGTTATAGAGATGCTTTATTTTCCGAACAAAGCACATTGTGTCCGTGTTCATAGTTAATATTAGTGAGTGTTGGTCTTTTCCTTTTATATTCTTAAGGCCGCCATTATTTTTAATCATTTTTTTTTACGTGAGAATGAGGTTATTATCTTTGTATTTTCTAATCGTATTTTTCGGATGGAACCTGGTAAGTTTGTGTATGTCTGTTTGAATGGATTGTTTGTTTATGTGTGTGTGTGTGTGTGTAATTGTGTATTTGGCAATGA